AAACACGCAGCCACGAGAAGGGAGCTGAAAGGCAGAAAGCTAAATAAAAACCAGCCAGCAAGTCGGAAAGCCAGACTGCAAGCCATCGCATAAATTGGCTGGGCTGGAGCCAAAGATTTCATTGTTGGCCATTGCTTATTATGGCCAGGCATCGGATCTAGGCCTTCATTAAACGGCCAAGACCAGCAACTTCAGATGCACTGAGAAAAATGTCACCAAATGTCGTCTGATCAATATATGCTGTCGTTATATTTCATTAGAACAGAATATTCAATAATTACTTTATGGCCGTGTTCCGTACATAGATTAATCATGATAATTTCAGATACTATCAAATAAATAGGTCCAGAATGGCGTACATTTTAAAATATTATACTGCATAGGCAATTATAAAAGGTTTTGATTCGTGTTTTATTATCATTTTTATATACCAGATATGAAACTCTTTTCTCTGTGTACAAAAGAGCCTTAATTCAACTTTGGTCCGCGAAGCTAGTGCGTGAGATATGCATTATTTATCTAGCGAAATTTTTCTCATTGCTGCGGCAACTTGTTGCAGGCAGACTTCCTGGTTTGCCCAGCTGCGGCCAAGATAGTCGGTGAAATACCAAAATGATACGAATAGTTTGTTTCTGTCGGTAGATAGCGAGAAATATGTGGGACATCCTGAGGATCGCTGTACTTTCTGGGATAGGGGTTGCGGGTTACGGGGTACGGGTTACGGGTCACCTATCGCAGGTTGCAACCTGCACGTGCCTCGCCTCGCTCGACCGCCTGATTGAACGATTGAAAGATCATCACCCGGAGAGAGATCTGGCGGGATAATGATGATGATGAGGTGCAAATTGCCGCTGCCATGAAATTGCAAATCAACTTTCTGACTCCCGATTGCACTTCATTCTAAATTGTTTGCTCAGCCCAGCAGCTCTGCCGCGGCGGATCCTCCGGCGTTAGCACAAAGATTGCAAATCGAATTTCCCAATTGCCGGGGTGCCTCGCTCGGCTCCATTCTCCGGCTGATTTGTTTTTGTGGTTGCCACGAACCAACCGCACACAACAGCAACAATTGGGATCCCGCCCTTTAACAAGCATTTAGCTTGCACCGCCAAGCTCGTGACCCATTCCCATCGCCATCCCCATGCCCACTGCCCAGAACTCCTCCAATATGCCGGCAAGTTTATGACCCGGCTCGAAATTGAAGTGGAAATCGGTTAGCAGTGGGTTCCCTTTTCGATTTGTTTTTATCGCTCCACGCAAGCGCCCTGCATTTACATATTTCTGCCTGCATTTGAACCCTGAACCCTGCGCCAGGGAAATGGGATCCCGAACGGTGAGCGAGGCGACCGGGCAGCTGTGGTCCGGATTAGCTCACTCCTGGCGGAAATGCCTTCCCTGTGACGGGGAAAACAAACAAATAACAATAATTAAGGCTTTTGCTTTAATTAACACTATTGAACTTGGGCGACTGCTGGCATAGGAAAGAAAAGAGGAACTGGCGTTCTCGATAACCGGAAGTTGGTATACTCTATCTTATCATTTTACTTAATGCTAGAACTTAATATTAATGGATCAGAGTAAATCATGAAACACCAAATTCATTCAACAAGCATGTATTTCTTATAAAATATTTATCATACTCTACCATTTTTAGAAATCATTCACAGTAAATAGATCGACCTATTTTCTTTGTTTTTTAAAAAACAAGAGATCCACTAACATATAAATGGGCACACTACTACTTATATTTTTAGGGTTTTTGACTGTGTCGAAACATTTTTTAGATGGCCATTAAAAACTTAAATATGTAATGAAAACAAAATCTTAATTAGGCTTACGCTTTTCAAGATATTTAAAAAGTTTACGAAGAACAAAAAAAAATTGGATTAAAATAATAACACAATTTCTGTAAAAATACAGTTGACATCTATCTCCTCGCTAAGAGGTGTCTTTGCTTTATAACAAACAAAGCCTGTTCTAACAATTATTTCATATCGCAACTAGTGAACCTGCCTAGTTACATCATGACAAGACTACGCGAAGTACTCTATCTTACCCTTTCTGGGAACCTATCACAATTTGCAATCAAATAAGAACTTCCGGTCCACTCAGCGAGTGTTTTATGAATGAAAATCTTGTCTCATTGTCTCATCCAGCTCCTCATCATCGTTGTCCAGTTGTCGATGTCCATCGCAAGCGATCGTCACGCTCATTGCCAATTAGTGCAATCAACTGCGTCGATGGTGGGTGGGGTTCTCGGAGCGGGATGCTGAGCGGAATGGGTGCTCCACTGGGTTCTGTGTGCTCAGACCTCAGCCTAGACAATTGCCAGGGAAATCTTACAGAGTTCACAACTTGATAAGATTAATTGACGGGGTCTCCCTTGTGTTAGAGCGCTTAAACCAGTTTATGGTAAAGGGAAAAATAATGCAAAATGTTTATAGTATTCGTTTAAGTAATAAAATATTTTTAATGTCATATTTTAAGAAAGTATTACATAAAAAATACTTGAACCCAAAATACAAGTTCTGTACTTTACAAATTCTTTAAATACATGGTACTAGAGAAGGATCATAACATTTTAGATGTAAAATGTTTATAATATTCCTTTAATTTATGAGATATTTTTAATGCCATTTCTTGGGAATATTTTACATAAAAAATACTTAAAACCAAAATATAAATTCGTTAACTGGTTTTATCCGCACTGTTAGCTGTAGATTATATATTACTAGTGAAGGATCATAACTTTTAAGAAACGTAAAGGAATAATGTTATGAAAATTCCAAAAAACCCGTTGCCCAAAACTTGTTGAGTACTAAAATCGTCAGTGATTAAACAACATAATTAAAGTGATCAGATATTGCAACAGCCGAATGTAAATTTAATCAACTATCTCGACCAGCAGCTTGTTCAATTTATAACGTAGCCCCTGTGATAAACTCCCCTCCCCGAACCCCTTGATCTAACCACTGCAGTCAATTTCAAATACATTTGCAATTTGTCAAATTTTGGTAGCCAGTGCCAAGATAAATTAATTTCGGCATCGATTTGATCGCTTGTCTCTGGTCATTTTGCATGGCTGTGGGCTGGGGGAGAGGGAACAGGGGCTTAGGGGCTTGAGGGGGGTGGCTTAGACCATGTTAGCCACAAGCCAACATGGCTTGGCTCATTGTAAATGTGCTTTAATGACCACCGGTCAGCAAATCTCATTTTTTGTCGAGGGACCCCATGCCGTTTCACACACACACCCGCAGAAAGGGGGGGAGGGGGAGGGCGGGCTGGTGGCTTGGCAAAGATTTCTGGTACCTGTAAAACCCCCTCGCAACGCCCCTGCGTCCATCAGCGGCCAAAATAATGACCACTGTCCACATGGTGCAAAATTAGACATATTTTCTTCTTACTTCGGGTGCTATCTGCCGCCCCTCGTCCCGCCCTCCCCCATCTTGGCTCACCTTTTGCATTTTCAACACCAAAAAGTTTTACATTCGGATTTTCCGCAACTGCTGAGAAAAATGACATTACAAATTGTGGGACATTTGTCTAATTAAATCCCTGCCTGCTCCAATAACGAGAGCTTAGATTACAATCTCACAGCGGTGCGTAATGGCTTTTGAGCCAGCTTCGGGATGAAGTGGCTATTTGGGGAAGGGCGGCTGGTTGAAAGGTTGCATTTCGGGGTAAAAGTTGGGAAATTGAGTTGGAACGAGGATGGAATTCGGGTGATGGAGGGTTGCACTTTGCGCTCCAGTTTCAGAAGGAGAAGTTAAATATCCCTTTGAGGATTTGATGCTTATCATTACTTCCTAGTTTGTTTCCAGAAAGTTCATTGTTCAAGACAAAAACGAGTAACAGCTTAAGTTATTGATACAAATATTTTGTAGAATCAACAGATTAGTATTTAAGTTAGTTTGGAAAAAAGGCTTTATAAAGTTTGGTTCATAGAAAATTTAAGAGGGTATTTCCCTGGTTTTGTAGATTAAAGATATCTTACATCGTCGGAAACGCTTTCTTCATACAATTCAATAATACAAAAATCAGTTTTCATAAAACATTATAAATAATTGATAAATATTTGTTGTATTTTTTTCTTATTTTCTTAAGATATTGAAATTATATAAATCGAATTATATTTCATACAAGTAGATAATTTTAAACAACATTTCCTTTCAAACTGTTTTTTTAAATCGACTCCTTGTTAGCTTAATTTTTACTACATTTAATAAAAGTAAAATTATTGTAATATTCGAATTTAACTCTTTTTATTAAAGCTAAAATGATATTACCAACTGCGTAGCAAAAGATAAATACATTTCTGACTAGTATAAATCCTAAAAATTACAACTGACCAAATGATCTTTCAATATTTTATGGATGACCGACATCAATTAATTCAACTTCTCTAAGTGCTTTCATAATGGTAAAAGAACGTTTTTCCTATAGAAAACCCCTTGAACGTTACTTTTATTAAACTCAGGCGGAGATAGGGGCAATCCCCACTGCATTTGCTGTACATAAAGGGCTGGCCACTGACCAATTAGAAGAGCAAAAGAAGTGCAACCCCAAGCGAGCGAGTGACCGCTGGCCAAAACGAGTGACAGAGGACCGGCATCTAATGAAATTAAGTCGAATCTCGAGCAGTGAGCACTCCACTCAAGCTATCAAACTCGGATTACTCATGTGGAACCCACTCAATGACCGACTGATAAGAACACGTGTTGCTCCATCCGCCGTCTTGCTCGCACCTCCCCAAGAGAGAGACCGAGAGCGAGGGAGAGGCTCCAAGGCGGGAGAGGGAGAGGCTCAGCTCGCGAGAGCGCGACTCGACGAGGGGTCCAATTAGATTACCGGCAGCAAGCATGCGCTCCCTTTCTGCCCAACGCAGGCTCAACTGGAAACTGTTCCAAAGGCTTTGGCGCTGGCGCTGCTCTCTTATTCTCGCCGAGTGTCTTTTGGCCCTCCATTCGCCAGTCGACTTCGACTTGGACTTTCGGCTCAGTTGCTTTTGAGTCTCATTCCGGTTTGCTGCTCGTCGTCTCGCGGATACTTCAGCGCACTCGCAGTTTCAGTCCGAAAATTCCTCTTAAATCCAAGGGATATTAAAAACTAACAGATACTAAAAAAAACAGAAGTTCTGAAAAACAGTTTTCTAAAAAGTATTAAAGAAATGCCGACGGCTTAGTGAGAAAACAGTGAAAAATAACATTCTGAAAGTTGATATTATTAACAGAAAGCCTGTAAATATCCTTTTTAGTGCAGTGAGAACTTAGATACCAAAGTAAGTTATAGAATATAATGCCCAAGTTAACCCTATAGATCCATAAAAAAGGTTTTTGCCTCTGGTAGGTAAATATATACCATTTATATGAATAAGAACTATATATATCTACAAAAGTACTGAGAGAAATTTTAAATAAATGTAAGTTCTACAAGATAAAGCCTATGTTCCAGTTGGTATATAAATTTAAACTATGGATAAGATGAGAAAGCCTTTGGCAACCCTTTAAAAAACATTAAGAGTGACAGAATGAATGCAATTTCCAGAAGGTAATACCTTTGAAGGAAAACATTTTGGGGTAAATTACCCTTCAGTATATTTATAATCTATATAAAGCAACGAAAGTGAGTGGAATCTATCTTGGAGCCCATCCGCTACCATATTTGAATTCCCAGTTTTAGAACCGACACTCACAAAAAATGCCTTATCGCATCGCATTGCCCGAAGATCGTTAATATTTATGGGACACTGCTAGGGGATGGGATCCGAGCTGCGAAGAACTGATAAGCCAGCGACGCTGATTATTCAGCAATATGCATCAGAGGTCTATATTGTGTTGCTTCATTCAGAGAGCGATCCTATCGCCTTATCTTCGATTTTCCCGCCGGGTTTTCCCCGGCTATCGATCACTTTTCCTCGAAATTAATAACTTTTGTGAGAACAACTGGCAGCCAACAGGCGCACAGCGAAATCATGTTCGAGTGATTAAATTAATTAATGATATAGACACACTGCGCAATAGTGTCCACGCAACCGAAGGGGAAGATCTTCGGTGTGCAGATCTAGAGGCTGGCGATCCTGCAGCGGCCAACGCCACATGATGCGGATCGCCGGGCCTAAGTCTTTGGCCAGAACCCAAGCTCTTGGCCAAGACCCAGTCTGAAGCTGCAGAGGCGAGCAGATCGTTGTCTTAACTTGTCGTACACGATGTCTTATACGTGTAGCAACAATTTATTTCGCCGGCCAATGGATCGATCGCCAGTGCAATCGATGATCATGGTCTTTGGGAAAAGGAGTCTGCGGCTCCGCTATCCCTGGCGATCAATCAAACCCGGCTGGATGATCAGTATTAGCTGGTCTAAAAATAATTGTACGTTGGCTATCTCCATCGATGAGAGAAAAAAAACGAAGAACGTGTAACCAAATGGGTTCGTTTAGTTTCATACTTATGCCGGCTACATTTGTGTGGGTTATTTAATACAAATATAATATAGCTTACCAAAAATAGATTACTCTAAATACGGGTGTTGTTATACCCATTTAAATTATAATTTGATTGAGTAAGGGAAAAATATGAATTTTAGTTTTTGTTCTTGTTTGTTTATATAATTTTTATTCGCTGATAGGGATGCCCCGACGTTAAACAATTTTAGTTAACATAAAAACAACAATTAAGCTGATAAGCAGCAAAATATAAAAATATAATTTTTATTTATACTCTAAAAACGTTTGAACTGCAAATTTATTAATTAATAGGACGTTTAGACATGCGATTGGTTTATTTACAGGCATTAAAATATACTACATATAAAGTCTCGATTAGGAAAACTAAAACAGTCATGCTAAAAACCAAAATTATTTACCAACATATTGCAGCTTACAATGGCTGTCTTCATATAATCTGTAATCTATACAAGCACTATGATTTTTATATATTGATAATTCACCAATAAGATAAAGACCGAATTTATTTACCAACAGATTGCAGCTCACAATGGCTGTCTTCATATAATCTGTAATCTATATAAGCACTTTGATTTTAAAATATTGATAATTCACCGATAAGCGCCTTATATATAGACAGCATGAGTCAGATCGACTCAGTACACTTCAGTCAGATGTCGGAACATCTCATTTTGCTTGCCTTTAGGTTTGCCTTTTGGGTTTGTTAAGACTTTACGACTTGTGTAATTAGTTTTTCTCTCGAAGATCTTTTATGGCGACCGACAGACTCCGAGATATGTATATAGATGTGCCAGTACCACTTGCACCGCACAGCGAAGCCCAAACTCTCTCTATTACACTTAGTGTTCCAAAAAAGATGCCATTAAAAATTGGAGTAACTGTTTTTCCAACTAATATCTGTGTCCAAAGCGCTAATTGAAGGCAACTTCACAACTTCATAGGCGACTCTCCCAGCAGCCGACTCCTCCGGGTCGGGGGTCAAAGTTCTTTCAGTTTGTGTGTGATTTTCTCGAGATGGGGCCGAAAAGAGCTCGGCTGACTGACGACAAGTGCCTGTACACCTCTTTCAAGTAAGCTGTCAAAGACAGCCCGTTGGCCGAGCTTGTTTACAGCCTCCGATGCTGAATTAATTAAACTAACTCTCGGCCGGCCGAGGCATAACCCCTTGGCAGTCAGGTGAGTGCAGCTCAATTTGTACTTTTCGAAATTGGTCAGTGTAACCCGAGGACAATGACTTGGGCTGCCTTCGACTCCCTTTTGGCCCCAACTTGTCTGCCGGGCACTCGTCAGAGGTCCTTACAAGAAAAGGACATAATTGCTGCAATAGATTCTCGACAGAAGTTGAAAGGTTGCATCAGCTGAGGATGTCTTTACAGAGACTTGAAAACGGGGATGAATGGTACACATGGAAAAATAGGTCGGTTACTTTTTAGCTAAATTCTCCATTTGCAGCCTTTGGAAAATACGTAACATATTTAAAAAAATATTCGTTCTTTTACTAAAGATTAGAGATCAATGTTTTTAAAAATTATATGAAGATGTTATATAGAGTGAACTTACATACTCTAAAAGGTTACTTATGGATTTCATACTTAAGGATTAATTGAGTTGTTATTTTTTTAAGCCATGTATATTTGCAATACCCAGCTTTCTATTCGTAAGGATACAGTATTGAAATTGCAGTTTTCCCTAATCTATCCCTGAGTCAGCCATCTCATTTGCCCAACATTTTAATTTCCTCCTTCGACTTTGCCAGGGGTCATAGATTTTCTAAAGCTTCGGCCACAACATCACCCACCTCTGATTCCATTTTGTGTGCGATGGTCTATTGATTGGAATATTCATTGAATAGTTTTTAAGCTGATTTATATGCTATTGTGTGTGGTGCTGTCGATTTAATAAATATTTAATTTCAACTCCGGGTCTGTCTGCTGCTCCTGCCGCTGATGGCTCCTAAATCCACACATAAAAGATTCAATCAGCGGAAGGAGCAGGGAGGAGTCGGAGGCCACAGAGCCGGCGATGATGATGTTGTTACTGCTGGTGTGCCTGCGTTCAGGTATTAATAATGCCGGGCACCGAATAATCCCCAGAGCTCCCGAGACATCGTAATTTGCAAAATGCACAATCGCTTCCTATAAATCAAGCCGGGGAGACACGCCGGGCAGCAGCTTCGAAGAGAATCTATTCAGATCCCATCGCGCAGGGTTGAATTATATATTTCACCTGGCCGAATCATAAGAGTTCCTACAAAGGCTTTCAAATCGAAACCAAGCCGAATAGCTGCACCGCCGTCAACTGCTATCAATCTCAGGTGAAATGGAGCTGCGTCCGCCGGCCATTAGATGCTCCCCGGTGCAGTGCAGCTCGCAGAGCTCCATTCCGCTTTCAGGAGACCAGCCATCCAGTCCCATGCAATCCCGACCAGCCTCACAGTCATCGCAGGCCAAGCTGCCCCGCTCAAAGGAAAGCGCCCGTCGCAATAGATCGCACATTGCAGATAGAGGCGTGCCTGCCACTCCACTCCACAAAATCGAGGAGTGACAAATCTTACGGCGAAATCTATATACCCTAGAAGGCAGCACACGTAAATGGTTTAATGATAGTATTTGAACCTTGGGGCTTTGTTAATTTACTTCAGCACAAGAAGGGATGACAGAAATAATTTGAAATATTGTTATCAGCCAAGGTAGTTTATAAGATGTATAGTAACTAACCAAGAGATTTATGAAGTGAAGAAATAATGTATCAATTAAAAATTAAATTGTAAGAGTCTTTAAGTGGAACCAACCCAAATAGGGGTACCTTCCTTGAGCTAAGTACCTATAAAAGCTAAAAAAATTTACCAAGATGTAGCTTAAAATGATAACTTCTTAGCATACCCTTCGCCTTAAAGGGTATACAAAAGGCAAAGCCAAACAATGAGCTGCAATTTCTGGCCACAAAGGATGAACGCAGCGCGTATGCCGGGCAGGGAAGAAAACAAAATAAAGGAAAAATCAAGAAAAATAAAGGAAAGAAAAGAAAAGAGTTGGGGACAAGAGCCGAGGAGAGTTGGCTAGATGGAGCCGGGAACGGGGAGTTGCAAGAGTCGCACATTCGGCGAGCGCCTTCAGCAGTTGTTATAAATTATAGTGCCGCATGCGGAATGAATGCCCAAGATCAAACCGGTGGTACGTAGTTCGTACACACACACCACAGATACAACAAACCGCCGATCCGAAGGGGGAGGGCCGATTGGGCGGTTGGTCGGTTGGGCGGCTATAAAAACAAACCTCCGCCCCCGCACGTAGTCAGTTGTGGCCGTTGTTGTTGTCGATGTTGCGGTTGCTGTCGCTGTTGCCTGTTGCTGCAAAATATTTAGCAGTGTACCGCTATGAAATTTGGTATTCCAAGACGGGACCAACATGCCGCCTCAGCGGTGCAGGGCACTGAAAAAACTCAGACGATCAAATATTTTTACAAAATTAACTTGGATTGGAATACATGTCCTATAAAAACATGTAGGAATACATTTTAAGATCTATTGGAACGGGGTGTCATTCCGTACTTGTAAAATATTTTGAAAATATTTATTTTTAGATTGTAGGAAATGGATCTATCTACCCTAATCTGGACTACTTAGTTTTCAAAATTCTTTATTTTTAGTAAATTTCTAAAAATTTGTAAATTTGAGGATACAAACTAAAATTTTTATTGAATTTTTTTTGCCGTTTAAAACTGAACTTAATTTTAAATAAGGTATTTAATAGATCAACTCGAAAATGTTTGCACTTATTTTTTTTTTGTGTGACTTGGCGGTGGTGCAGCAGTTG